TGACATGCTCCCAATTTTTTCACTTGTTATGTCGAAGTTTGATCAAAACCAGAAAAGCTTCTGGTAACGTCGAGGTAAAAATATAATCGCTATGCCTAATTAATATTCATTCTCCATTAACGCGGTATAAAAATTATACATATTCTTAGAATCTGGCAAAAAAACGGAAAAATGTGTTACCCAAACTAAATTTTTATTCATGAAATCTGCTCACCTGTTTCAAAATCGTCAGTCATGAAAAGATCCGGTCAAATGACACGATTTTAGATCTTCTGTGAACAAGGCACGAAAAGGAAAAGAATCGGCGACAGGCCACATCAGGCCTACACTGCAGCGCCGAAATCAATATGTTATGTTATGTTAAAATCAACCCGTCTACCTATCCAGGAACCCTTCATTGGCGTACGGCCGTTCATATAGGGGCTTGGCCGGTTTCTCTGCCTGCCAAACCATCTCACAGCGCCATAGCAACGCCGTTTTCCCGGCCTAGTCAAGCTATAGGAACCTTTCTATTATTCACTGCATAAATAATAGGTTGTTCCTGTTCATATTAGTCCTTCTTGTGCTTAAATGTTGCGCATAAAACCCGAACCGAGTCTGATTTTCATATTTTTCCCAGGAAGGCAGAAGTGGATACTTGAATTTGATTGTTGTACGTCTTCATGATATGTTAAAATAGGTTGAAATAATGGCCTTAAAATCTTGATGCCGTGTGAGATATTAAAATTGATTTCAGTCGTGTTTTAATACTGAAAACTAAATCGAATCATGACTATTTACCGCAGACACATTATAAAAAATAAACGGCGCATTCCTACGCAGATTTCATTACGTTCTAATCAGGGATAACTATATAGACTTGAATACGAGGAGAAAATCAAGAGAAAAACGAGAAATTCAAGACGTGTAATCAATTATTCAGCTGATTTCCATGCAGTGAATTTGGTCAAATGAAGACAGGTTAACTAACCTATCGCTCTTCTCTTCATACTATCGTGTGAAGGTAAACACGTCATTATAACGTCATCAATTATAGCACCAGGCCAGTATGAATGTTTAATATATTGCAAAGAAAATAGACCCATACTCAAATCATAGGCCTCATTTTCAAACAGACATCAATTCAAAATCATAAATTATCATAATCAAGTAATTCAGTCATTCAAACAAAATTCATACGGTGGACAATTGTTAGGATCGTAATTCATCCTGATTTAGACATAGTATAGACCATGGGGTCATACGATAGTTTCTACGCAAGACAACATTGTATAAAATTAGTTATTATATACATGGATTTAGTAAAAGTTGATGTATAAGAATTATATCACAAGACAAGATCGAACAAGTCTTAAAATCAGGCATGTCCAATGACAATAAAAGCTACGCAGACCGAAGAAAAATAAATTCTAACCGACCCAAATATGAAGGAAATTCCTGTTTTAAGAATTCTATAATCTATATCTCTAACGTCTAGCACCTTTTCTTATAGCTAACTATGCGGTAAGATTCATATATATTACTTAACCAAAATTAACTAATCAGATCGAAATTATAAAAAATAAAATGTTCTCAAGGAGCAGCATTTGAATGAACAATACAATAAATATCCTTCAGGTAACTCTCGAAGAAGCATAAGAAATTGCTAACAGCGAATCAAAAGCTCATTGTAGGAAATAACAGGAAGTAAAAATGGAAAAATTTTGTAAAAGTGAGGCCAAGAAGCAAGGAAATAAAATTATGGACAATCAATCTCAAGAAAATATATAATGGAAATCATAAGAAACTCATCAATATAAATGTAGTTCTGATGTCATTTCATAGCTAAGGCAGGATTCATTCGAAAGTTAAAATAAATTTGAAACATCAAGTGAAAAGTTCTTCACTGCAAATTATTATTATTCGCGAAGGTAATTTTTTTGCTGTTAGATTGGATTTTACCTGTATAATGGCAAATTATATAACAAATAATGGCGTGGAAAATACGGTTTTCTTCAAGATTGTCTATGTTGATAACTGTTGTCAAGGAGTATTTAAGACCTTATTTTCAATTAAGCCTGTCAGTTAAATTTTTTTTCGCTCCGACTCGCTACGTCCGGAGCTAAAACTAGAATTTAGCGTTCAGCTAGAAATGCAAAAAAATGCGCGTATAAAATATCGCTGGTTTTACCAGAACAACAATCGCTTGTTCCTACACCGGATATCTTAATTTCCGCGAATTAAGAACATCATTTGTGCAATCTACAACAGACCCACGATCGAATCCACCGTTCGTTTTTTTCATGTTGTGAACGGTATATCCATTTTGGCCATATAAGCGTGTTATCGCTAAGATCTTTCGAAACCCCTTCAAAATACGTATATACAAATGTAATTTGTTCAAGTCGTCGTTTCCATCAAAGCCGGCGTTTCTCCTAGCAATAACTATTGTGAAAGTAACCACCAATTGTGAAAATCGAAGCATTTTTCAACATAAATAAATCGCAACTTAAAAGCGATGCGCTCGCAACAGTGAATTCTGTTTAATTTTGGCATCAATATTGCACATTTAAATTCCCCATTAAACAGAGGAGAAGCCTTAATTTGTCGACAATATTATATTTATCAATCACAGTTCGTGTTCAGTCACCAAACTTATTTCCTCATTTTTCGCCTGGAAAATACAAATTTGTTCCTAACTTAAAACGTCGAGTAGTGGCGAATTGTGAACAGCGAAACACGGAAGATTACAGAGCAGCTTAATGGGTACAGTCTCTATACGAGTCACTAAACTAACAATACGACACAATTGCTTCGAAATAACAATTAAAGCATTCTTGGTGCACACTTTTATCCACGTAATATATCAACATGCTTTAGCTTGATATCACATCAAAGGTATTGAGAGTATTGAAATGACGTAAGTGAGTGGCTTTCATTTAGTCCTCGGTCACCGGGCTAATTGAAAATGCATCCTCATTTTGACAAAAATTAAAAAAAAATAATTCCAGGAGGCAATCACCTAGTAATATTTAAAGAATATAGCAAACAGATTGATTATATTCAATCTTGCTGATGCTTTATCTACATTTCTTGCCTCTCTTGATGAGAAAATATTAAAAAAAACAGCCGAAGAAGAGAGAAAAAGCTGCCCTGCCAAAATAAATTTTTTTATCCATGTAAAATTTGGTGAACACATTCAATGAACACATACAATGAGGATTTTACACAAATGCTACTTTGACACAGGATTATACAAACCAAGCTTGAGTGAAACTTCCTTTCGGTGGTGGGAAGTGTTCCTCGGTGGGAAAGGATTGAAAGTGATCGGTCGTGTTCTTAGATCTGGATTTGATTCATTATCCGGACTCTGAATACTAGACCAAATTAAGTTACTACTTTCAGTCAGTGTCGACTTGGTGAATGAATTTACTCCACTTTTTGGAGATAATAATTCTCGCCGAAAAATTTCTACTCCTGATAGCGAGGCCTCTGAGCTTTGTCGTGCAGACCCGTCGTTCACGGCAGAAACTGGAAAATGTTTTTCTGAAGATATTGAAGGCATTATTTCTCTTGATTGGTAGTCACTCTTATTTGTATTATTATCCGAAGCGTTGGCCATTATTTTAAAGTCATCACATGTATTATCGGAGGAGATTTGCAATTCCGTGTGCGGTGGTGTATCTCCAGGATAAAAAACACTGTCCGTATCATTCGTCTTGTGATAAGGACTTAAACCTTCAGGAATACTTCTTATCATCGTAGCAGGATGATGCGCAGATTCAAGGCCTTCTAAATTACTTGAATTTACGACTTGCTCCGCTACGACAAGGTTTGCAGATGCAGTGGCACTATTTTCAGATGACTTTAATTCTGTATGCCCAGCAATCGAATGAGATTCTAAACGGACAATATTATTGCTGTCAGCAACTCGCGTGTCAAATTTTGACTTTGCAGCACAAAATGCACCTAGATGCAATTTAAAACAGCCCATGTCTTTCTCAGAAATATCAGTTTGAGTGACAATTAATGTTTTAGCTTCTTTGGTATCTAATGGTCTATTTTGTGACTCATTATTATCTGTTGATCGTTTGATATCCGCTTCGGCGTTTTCTTCTTGTATCGCAGTAGTTCCCTCTATACATCTTCTGTATACGCTTTCTTCCCTTTTCTCCTCAATTTCCATGCAATTGAAGTTTTTTGACCCCAAACGCGTAATGGCATCGTTACCCTCACATGGCTCTGTGATGCTAACGCTCTCGATCCTTCTTTCGATTAGGTGGACATCAGACGAGATGCCTGGCGATGAATCCCGCTCTAGTATAGCCGTAGGTTGAAGTACAGAAGGTGAGGGCAACTCGAAATTTTTGGACTCCTTTGGAATCAATCTACCTTTTGTATCCTGAGAAGTTCTAAGTATGGCTTCCTCCAACAATCGAGAGCCTATTTTGTCAATGCCATTGTTTTCATGCTCCAAAACCTCTGCTGAGACTGTGTCATCAGGGTTCGTATTATGTTTCTTGTTTGCCTTCTCTTTCTTTTTCTGCTTAAGAATTCTCTCGATTACAATAGTATTTTCTTTAACTAATTCTTGTAGAGCAGCCACGCTACCTTTACGCTTCGTGTTACGCCGAGTTTCTAGGAATTCCATGTCTTCAGCAGTCATTGATGTTTTTCTTACGAGACATGGAATAGCCTTTTGTGAATCAGATTCATTTTCGCATCCGGGGTGTTCAGTTAAAGAAGAAAGCAAGCCAGATTGAAAATTTTCTGCTGATGTTGTGAGGATTCCATAGGCTTGTAGAATATCGACATCAACACTGAATGATCTCAAGCCGGCCCACAAGCGTTTACGGATCATTTCAGCTGTTATCTCATCAGACGGACTCGTAACAAAGTCTTCAAAATCTGTCCCCTTGTCGCTAAAAAGAATGGTATCATTGATTTCTGTTTCTTGATAATGTGGAATCTCTATGTTTAATGGCGCAAATTTTACCATAGTCTGTTTCTTAGACTCTAGGTTACAGTCGGATCTTATTGTTTCTGAAACAGTAGAATTGTCAGAAATATTAACTGACTCACCGATCCTACTCTCAGATTTGCTTTTGTCCAGCTTTGACGATTTTTCTACACACTCTTGTGAATTCACCCTCGACTTGGGACCTTTTTGAAACCGCGCGTTCTTTGAAAGGGACTTAGAATATTTTGATCTTGGCTTAGAACGCAAATCACGCTCAAATTTATCTCTAAGACTAAGTCGAGTGCTTGGAGCGTTCCATAATTCTGGGCTGTTGAATCGCCTTTTGAGGTGTGTTCGCTCTATGATGGTGTGATCTTCCACGCCAAAAGATATGATTGCACTCGACACTGGACGCGATGATGGAAGACTGGCACTTGCCAGCTCCTGGAGAGTGGGAACCTCACAGAAAATATCGTCATTCTGCGAATCCTGAAGAGACTGAGTGCGGTTGTACACCGTTGGCAAATCAGCAATATGTTTTGGAGCAAGAATATCATTCAGAGCTCTTTCATGTCTCACTATGTCGTCATCTTCGAAATCGTTGTGCTCAGAAAATTTGGTTAGTTCGACAATTACTTCATTCTGAATGGAGTCTTCGATCTGATTTTGAGGAGCCAATTCCTTCGGTGACGCCAGGACGTCGCGTTCGATGAGCGTTAGGTCCAAACATTCCTTTTGCGGTGACAAAGCTTTAAGCTCGCCAGCAGCGCTAAAGAGCTTGCAGATTGCCCTTGTAGTGCTCGGAGCCAACGTTGGCAATGCCAACTCGAGTTCTCTTGATTCTTGAGTCTCTTCTTTAGGAAATAATTCTGCCGGATTATGACAAGATGGGTTTTCGACATCAAGTGATGATGAGACCACAAGGCTGTTCAACAACTCTTGAGTGCTGGCGCTTAACGACCGCAGAAACTGAGAGTTAAGTGCAAAACTTGACTTGGAGAAAGTAGGACTGGGTGATGGTGAAGCTACTGGTGTTGAAATTTCCATTACATAAAGCTCTTGGGACGCAAGAGGATGCAAGTGCATAGCGGAGCAGTTGACGAAATCTGACGAGGAACTCAAATCTCTGGGTTGAGGAGAGTTGGGATCAGAATGTGCCTTGATTGTGGGCACAAAATTGTTTCCTTCGATCCTTAACTTTCCAACTTCAGCTTGCTCCTCCATGTTTTTCAGCTCGGTCGTCTCGATACCTACGCCAAGTGCATTGGACAAAGGGAGACCGCGGTCTCGTTCCTCGTCTACAAGTTGGGCATCAAAAGTCTCGTGAAAACTTGAGTCGTGGTTCTTCATTTGAATTCCAGATTTGGTTGCGATGGGAATTACAATACCTGCAGTTGTTAGATGCTCATCGATTCGATGACACTTCGGTGTTACTTGTATAGTTGTCTCCACAGAAAACTGTGTACACGATTCATCAACAACAACTCCGTCAACTAATAGGGAATCTGCAGAAACTGACTGCGAATCATTAGTAGGCTCTCCATTAATATGAAGCTTTTCGCTAGCGAGATCAGCATTGTAGCTTGATTGTTTTCGGGCTATTTTTTCTCTCTCGCCTCTCAGTAAAAGATTAGAAAGAAATTCACTGTCAATATATTGTCTAATGCTCTCGGCCTCTTTGCAGAGCTCAAACACGCTGTTGTCATCTTCATAGAGTGAGATCCTGGGGCTTCTAGGGCTGATCGACGAGCTACTGCGGCTTCTTTTGCTCACGCTTGAACTTCTGGAGTGTGTGATGGGACTTTGTTGGGACAATTTTGGGCTTTCTAGAGAAAGGTTCGACAAACTATACCATGTGTCAGAAAACAAAGTTGTTATCACTGGCTTATCACTTTTCAGTTCAGGTTTATACAATGAATTTTCAATAGGGTGAGGAATTTCATCTGAACTTGAAGATCCAATTGCACAATCTAACTGATGAACGGGGAAAATAGGAGCTCCTCTTTCTTTTATATTAAAATTCTGCTGTTGATTTGCTTCGGTCGTTGAATTTGGTTTAGATTCAGTTGATAATCCAGCATGTAATCTCAATTCTGACTGAGGAGGTTCAATTTTGTTACCAGTTTCTGCAGCAGTAAGCAAATCAAATTTGTCATAAGCGGAAATTACTTGAGAAGAATTTTGTATGAGTTCTCTTACATTTGAACATAAATCATCTCTCGGAAATAAGGCGGCAACGGGGATAGTGTTATTCAATCCCATGCAATTCGAATATTTTTTAGAATCGACTACCGTGCTTTCACCTACTAATGCGCTGTGCGTTGTAGCAGCTTTTTGAAAATTCGGAACCTCAGAATTTTGACAGAATTTCAACTCAGTTGGAGAGTCATGCTTTGCAAACTCACATGCATCTATGCAATATTCGTTCTTAGCAGATTCATGGATCACGATTTGAGTTGTGGTATCATTTATTCTTTTCATTTTTTCATCGGCAGTATTCAGTAAAACTTCATCAGATGGCGAGAGCACACGATCTGCTTGATAATCATTGAAATTTTTATCTTCAGGGAAATTCGTAGAACTCGAGGCTTCAACTTCATTTTGTTTGGCTACATGGTCCGCACTCAGCTCTTTAGATTTTTTACGGGCTTTTACTTCACTTATCACGTTCCTCACTTCTTCTGTATGGGGAAATTTTTTCGCTTGTTCAACACTCATAGCATCATTTTTCGATTCAAAATTGTTGTGCAATTTAAAATCGAATGTGTTGGTGACTGAAGTATGAATATCAGCGGTGACAATATTATTCTTGCAGTACAGAATCCCCGGGGCAGTTTCGACAGCCCTGGGGGACCGGTCGCCCGGTGGTGGGGTGCCCCGTGGGGTGACGGCGTCCATGGGCAGCTCAGGCACGTCCTTGTAGTCGTCGTCGTCGCAAAGCTCCGTGGATGTGCTGTCGCTGGTAGAACCCAAGCTCCCCTCCTCTGGAAATTTGTGGTCTCCTGTTAATTGGTTGACATTTCGTTGGAGGTAAAATTACACTGCGAAATGTTAATGATCCAATTCATGAAGGCTGTTGTTGCCATTGTGTCAGGAGGGAAATTTAATTTAAAATATTGAACAACGATTCTAAAACTTTTGCTGGAGATGTAGGTTGATGATTCCCGAATTATATCAAGGGACTAGGAACGATATCATAATCAGTTTACTCCTGTTGGTGATATAGAAAAAAAATTTAATAATTAATTAAATATTAAATTTAAATTAACGTATTTACATTTAGAAAGCCATCACATAGGCTGACCAAGTTCGATCTAGCCCATAGAGGAAAAATAATTTTTAAATATTTAGTCACATCGTTGTATTCTTTTTTTCATCCCAGCAAAATCGTATTTCAGTACCTTAAATTTTTTAACGCTGCTATTTCAAGTAATTTTATTTTCTCGCATTTAGAATAACCCCAAAAAAAGCAGCGGTTTAGCGTACTTGCGAATTTCACGCTCAAATTCCTGCAAGAACTTCAAAGCTAACAACGCCTGGTGAAATACTTTCAAAGAGTTTTATTTGATTAATACTACCTTCAACAGTATCAGGCAAGCTGTCAGCTATATATTATGTTCTCACAGAGTATTTTAATAATACTACCTCCAACAGTATCAGGCAAGCTGTTGGCTCTATATTATGTTGTCACGTAGCTTTCTAATAATACTACCAGTATCAGGCAAGCTATCAGATCATTATCAGGTTCTCAAATGGTTTTTTAATAATACTATGTCACATAGCTTTTTAATAATACTACCTCCAACAGTATCAGGCAAGCTGTCAGCTCTATATTATGTTGTCACATAGCTTTTTAATAATACTACCTCCAACAGTATCAGGTAAGCTGTTGGCTCTATTGGTGCCATCGAGCAGCTTGACGCCTGGCGGTAGCGAGGCTCGGCGAGTTCGGTTGGCGTCCTTCCACAGCAGAGTCTCCGGCTCGGGGCCCGGAACAGCCGTTGTGTGGTCTCCGATAGCGGGAACTGAAGAATAAAATTTAGTTTAGCAATTTTAGCAGCATTTTAGTTGAAATGTAAATTTTTTTTAATAAGTTGATTTATTTTTTCAAGTTCCGAATAGTTACCAACTTCACATAGTTTGGAGACTTCTCCCAATCGTTTTAAAAATTTATATTTTTAAATTGATTAAAGTTAAGTATAATTGAATAATGTATTCTGAATATCATATATATTTAAAAATTTGAAATAAATCGCAAACTATTAGATTACAAAAATATGAGTCGAACCTCTCAGGTACCAAATAAAATTTAGACCGTAGATCTTCAATTAAAACGTGTGGTGAGTGAATAGCTTTCCAATTCTTGCAGAACTTGCGATATTTAAGCAGAATCAAAACCTTAGTACTTATATTTATTTTTGGTCTTATATGTAAAACTTTGACAGTGGATTCATGAATTACTTGTTATGGGCGGGCATGGGTGGCCAGCGGCAGAGAGGCGCGAGTGGACGGATGGTGAGATTGGCAGGTCAGGGTCGCCCCTTGGGGTGCAGCGTGGAAGCTGACGAGAGTCTGATTTTGCGACTAGTGGGCGAACGGGTCCAGGGTAAGTGTAGACTGTGGGGGGCTGGATGTGGTGAGGGGAGATGATCGTCGTCATTCGTCTTTTGCGGTCCACCTGAATAGACCACGTTTTCGATAATTTTGTTATGTTATTACTTTATGTTATGAATAGATAGACTGTCGTGAAAATATCAGAAGAAATGGAACTGACATTTGACATCCTCTCGTTCACGGCATGCCATAAGCTATAAGCAGCTAGGAAAAAATATTGTATTAATTAAAACTAGCCTATTATTGCCAAACGTGACGGATATTTTGAAGTTCAATGCAGACCAACGACGCGAAAAAAATACCTTCTTAGGAACAGGTGGCACAGCTACCAGGCCTCTGGCAACCACTCTCTTGGTTTTGGACGTAAGAGCCGTCTTGCCTCTCAAGAGATGGTTCATCGTCAGCGGCTTTGGGTCGCTTGACGAATTTTTCGGGCTTGCATTCCCAAAATTACAATCAACGGACGCTCTTCTTAAATTGGACCCGAGATTTTGCTGGGAGCTCTCTTTGGTAGGAAAATGGGCTTGAGAACGACCTGTCAAGTTAGAGGCTATATTATAGGAGAGATTCGATGCAAACGATCGAGTGAAGTCACTCATGTCGCTGGTGAGATTGCCAGCCAAACTGCTGGGTTTGCCAGCCGTACACCTGTGATGCTGTTGGCTTGTCGAGCCGCGACGTCTCGATGCACAGCGACCGCCATCCCCCATGTCCATATTTATTTGCGATGCTGCAACGAGCCGTGCACGTCATAGAGGCTTTTTCAACGCAAGTACTAGGTAAAAATAACCGCATGCATAGAGCTTGTAAACAACGAGTTGAAAAAGTGCTGGATATAGGAAGAGTGCTCTGAAAAAACTTCGGACGTGGGTGCAAGAAATTACCGTCATTCATGTAAATAATTCCACTTTAAGTTTAGAAAGTTCATGTTTGTTTGTTCGAAGCTTGGGGTGGTAAACGAACAGGAGTTATTCGAACGCGTTTCAGCAATACCTATGAATTCGGGATACTACATGGACCTGAAATGTTATTTTCTGATGGATGGTTCACGACGCATTTTACACGACGTGGAGGGATTTAATAAATACATTAAAATTTATTTATAATTTAAATAACTTATGTACAAGTTCAGCATGCAAATAAAAAATGTTTAATTAAGTTCAAAATTGCAGCTTGGAAGATCAATGTTCACTGAGTGTCTGAACAGATCTGCCTTTTAATAGCATTAATTTCTGGGACAGTTTTTTTAGTTAAGTAAACGGAAGATATTCCAAGCTCCAAGTAGTTGCAAATTTGTCATTGAAACTTTCATTGCAACAGCATGAATAAGTTGTGGGTATAATTTAGTGTTTGAAACATATTTAAGGGGTTTCATAAGTAATGAGAAACTTGTCCCTAAAATTATTTTTATGCTGTCGCGGTTGTTGAAACATAATCCAGCTGTGCTCTTACGACGCGCAATTGATCTCTAAAGCCCATATAGATTCAGAAAATAAACTGACAAGAACGTGAAAAAATGTCACGAAGAAGAAAATACACAGACGGTTATATGCATAAGATGGTAAAATCAAAATACACGCATCGTGCAGACATCCAAAACAGCGAGCTATTTTTGAGAGCGCCATGTTCCAACAGGCCACCTCATCGGGCTCAAAGAGATGTAAATAAAAATTTTAAAATGCTCTACCATGAATTGGAGGACGATTTTCACGTGAAAAGACGTACGAGCAACGAAATGCATGGCCAATCCTAGTCACTTTTGATAGCAATTTTTAATAGACTAAGGATTTATTATGAGTACAGAAGCGCTGCTAGTCTTGAGCTGACAAGCCGAGAACAACGAATAATTTTAGTGTAAATGTCTTGAACGTCAGTCAATGTCTCATCATTATCATTGTATTCGAGAAATAAAGCTGCCGCTTAAGGAAATATTTTGAGACAGTAAAATTACTGTTTTACACTTCATTTCATCAAAAAATTGTCTAAAAATGTTTTGGATTCGATCGACGTGAAACAAATATGAATTAACTACAAGCATTTTGTTAGAAGCCTTGATAGAAATAATGATTAGAAAGAAAACTTCTGCAAAGCATGTTGTTGACCATGCTAACGAAATAACTATTATGCAACGAAACCATGCTAACGAAATAATTTTGTTATACGTTTGTTGCGTTTCAATAAAGTGAATATTTGAAAGTATATTCATGCTCGGGAAATCGAAAGATCTTGTGAAATAACTTATTCATTAAACTATTTTTAAGTAAACTGTAAATTTTTTAGTGGAAATGCAACTTATTCATTCAACGTGTTTTGTACCAAGTATATATAAAATAAAAAGTGATTCGTTTTGAAAGTGATTCAAAAACACGCTTTAGTGAATTAAGAATTAATAATTCTATTAGCATGCTTTTTATCTGCAATTATTATTATTGGTTAACAGATTTTTATTTTTCGATAGGATATCAGACCTTGAAAGCAACGGATCCCTCGGTTTATACCCCTCTGTAACACTGAGTAGTTGAGTAGTTTAGTTTCTTTAGGCGAAAAGATCTTCAGAAACAAAAAATGTTTCAAAATTTCAAGTAAAACACATAATCCAGTATCACAAAAAAACGTTCGACAGTGAAATGCTTTTAGAACTGAAAACATAAAATTTGTCATAATTGGCAAAAAATTCAGATATTTTTAAAGAATTCACCCGCAAGAATGACATGGGCCTGTTTCTGCCGCTCTCTGAGCCTGGCGTATTGCTTCTTTAGAGCCGAGATGTCCAGGTTTGGGCGCGACGAAGATTCCGCTTGCGTGGCTCGGAGGTTGAGCGGTCGAGGTCCGCTCGAGTCGTTCGAACCTGAAACGAAAACATATAACTCAGTACTCACTGCAGTGATTGACAGAGAGCGCATTTTCTCATCGACGAAAACGTGAAGTCACGGACGGACAGACAGGCGGACAGACTGACGGCCAGACGGACATGGCGAGCACAATAATGCATTTTTTCCATAAATGAAAAAATGCGCTAAAAACAGTACGATCAAAACGATTATTATCCTAAGCCTTAAACGCCAAATTATCCTTAGCCATTCGTATCAAGTTCATGCATGTATGAGAATGTCAATAAAGCCATGCAGACAAAGATCGCGGGCAGAGCTTGCATAACAAAAGTTTAGTTTCATGTTTATCAGTTACAGTCATAACAATTATGAGGAGTAAAAAAAGTAAAATTTAGGAATTTTCAGTTACTCTGGAAGAAAAACTCGATCTATTTTTTATACCACTGAAAATCCTGATTTGTAAACTATTTGAATTTCATAAATAATAATATAAAACTGTCATTAATAATAGGCAATAGGGATGATTTCATTTTGAGTAAGGCTGAAGTTAAAAGCAAGAATTTTTGACACCAAACCTCCATGAATTAATTAGAATATTGCATTCATATTTTAAAGTTCGTTGAAATACAATAACATAAACTTGAAACTCTGCTTACAAGAATTAATAATATAATCTCTCTTATTCATGATTCAAATTTATTCACAAAAATATATCAAAACTTTCGATCTCGCTTGTAATTTCAGGCCTTAGACATTAAGATCTGAAATATTCAGAGCCACTCACTTTTTCTAAAAATTCCAGATAATCCAAAGGCGGCAGCAATGGCCACCTTCTCGTTGGTAGAATCGTCATCATCGTCTCCGCTCTCTTCTTCGTCATCGTACAGTAAATGGAGGCGCCGTCGGGCCGCAGACGAGACAGACGAGACCGACGAGACAGAGGGCACGGCCAGTGACCATGGCGTGATGTTATACGCGTACCGGTCCCTCAGTTCCGTTAATCCCGGTAGCGGAAACGGAGCCATTCCAACGATGCTCTGAGTGCAACATATCGAAAGTTAGTTCAGCCAATATCACTGAAAAATATAACTCAGTACTCACTGAAGTGAGTGACAGAGAGCGCATTTTCTGGTCGACGAAAACGTGAAGTCACGGACGGACGGACGGACGGACAGACAGACAGACAGACAGAGAGAGAGACGGACAGACAGACAGACAGACAGAGAGAAAGACGGACAGACAGATGGACGGGCGGACATGGCGAGCACAATAGCGCCTTTTTCCCATAAATGAGAAAATGCGCTAAAAACTGCGCAATCCCAACGATGCTCTCAATGAAAGGTATTTAAAGGTAACGCCATTTATTACGGTAGTAGAAACGAGGCCATTCCAACGATGCTCTATATACAACATATTCATTATGTAGTGACATATATACCGGTAATGGAAACGGAGCAATTCCAACGATGCTCAATGTACAACATATTCAGAGCGAGTTCAGAAAATCGCTGCAAAAACAGCACTGTCCCAACGATGGTCTAAATACTAGATGTTTGAAGGTAGGGCGATTAATTTCGGTCATGGAAACGGGGCCATTGATTTAAAAGATGTTCCAAATAAAAAATATTCAGATTCAGTTCGACAATCCCGGTCACAAAAACGGGACTCTTTCAGAGATGCTCTGATTGTATGAGTGAGAGTTTCAACTCATAAAATGACACCATTAGACGACATCGAACTGACATTGATTGGTATTTCAATTATATTGAACCGCAAGTTAGATTTTGTTAAATCTATGAGACCATGAGAGTTATGACCATGTTCAATCCAACAAGGGTCCCTGCGGTGCCTTAGCTTCAAACCATGATTACCGATAGGAAAGCCATCGGAGCGAGACTTTGCAAGCCATTATTCATTTACGCTGGCTTAAAGGCCCAGTTTGCACTAATAGCGTAGATCTTTTATACAGAGCTTCTTCGTTCAAATGGGAATGAATTATGAAAACGATGCGACTGCATAAGTAAGGAGGCGGTGAAAAACAAACATTTACAACGACCACAAGACACGATCGAATGTGATCGAACTGTTTGACGCGTACCTATATTCAAAACAGATTTCGGAACAGTAGGCAAACAGGACACGGCATCAGCATTTTCAAACAAATTTAGGACCAGCTTTCCAAAATACGTATGTAAGACAGAATATACTAATTTCGATGAGGAGTTTTGAGGAACAGTGGTCTTTAACNGATGATCTTTAACTCACCTACACGAGGGAGGTTCTTGTAACGATGGTCTTTGACTCATCTGCACGCGGGAGGTCCTTGGAACGATGGTCTTCAACTCACCTACATGAGGCAGGTCCTTGGAACGATTGCCTTTGACTTACTTGCACGAGGGAATTAGGAGGGATGGTTGAGGGTGACGAAAGCATTTCCCTCGTGAGGCCGGCCATTTCTGTGTAGAATTCGTCCGCTGACTGCACTGCAAGGATGCGTCTGAAAACAAGTTTTAGAAATTAAAGCGCACAGGCAAATAGAGTACTGATCCTGCTTCTGCTGGTGGACGAATGTTGACGAAACTTGCGTGAAGCAAAGTGAAATTCTTCGAGATAATGGATAAAGTGGTTCAGAAAGATTCTAGAGGTAATGAAATAAAACGATGCCAATGATCAGAAAGGAAAAACTCAACGGTTACGGTGCTAGGGTACGCACACAGTGAAAGCAGGTTGCCAGCGTGCTGGTTACCTGCTCAGGCTGGCGCCTGAAACCATAGAATACAGAAGCCTATTCGTACAGGTTTTCACTGTGAACACTTACATTATTATCCTATGTTCATTCTTGTGGCAGGTTGGAGCAGGTTGCAAGCGCGGGCAAACCTGCTTTCACTGTGTGCGTACCCTTACGTCATGGAAATTTGAGTTAGGAGCCAACAGCATGATAAAATAATTTTGAATTGAGATCTGCATCTGGTAATTACTGGTTGGTTTGCGATTGAGAATTCAATGAATAATGGCAAATGAATGAGCTCGCGTCTGTTGTTCACTATTTGAATTAGCGAAATTGAAATTTAATTTTTTAGACTAGATGTTTAAATCCACCGATTTTACCAATCAAACTATTCGTCGATTGTTGAGCATTATATATACAGCGAAAACTTCGTTTAAAGCCATGAAACCACATATCATAACACTTAATTAACTCTTCAAAAACATAATTAGAAAATAAACAGAGTGTTGACGTATCAGAATGTTCTCTAATACTGAAAGACCAGTGGTAGCATTCAAAATTTATTTTCCAAATGTCTTGAATACAGTTATTTGTCCATTCGAAAAAAATAATAGAAAAATGAGATGCAGTAACTGCCTTGTTTATAAGGATTCGGTGGGAGGGAAGTAATATCAATTGTAACGTGATATGGCATCAGCACATAAACCATTGAAAACATAGCCTGAAATTACGGATCGTATGATGCGTAGAAGTCAGAATTGTTCTCCATCTAAGACAGCTTCTTATTATATACCCACGGAGCAAGTCTGTCCCAGAGTGCGAGAGCCGTTCTGAGCAGGACTTCATTGCCTTGCAGGAATGTCAAGTCCCAGACTCTCATGACCGTCCCCTTAGGCAGGCAGTTGCTGAACAACGTCAAGAACCACTGCATTGTAAATACGTTCGTCAACGGGGGTTCGTAACACGTTCCTGTTGGTTGTGAAGAATAATGTAGGCATTGAGAGTGTCAAGTTTGATTGAGAGTGAAAAGTTCGATTACAAGAACCTATGCAGTTTCAATAGGTTTTTTAACGGAGGTTATTAACACGTTCCTGTTGGTCGTGAAAAACTATCTGAGCCTTGTGAGTATCAAGTGAAAAGTATAATTATCAAGCAATGAATGTCATGTCAGCATTCGAGTAGAACAAAAATCAACCTACTTTTTGACTTGGAAGTAATTGGTGATAATCCTGTGATGATCTCCCAAATAAATGTGATAATCTTGCTTAATATTAAAAGTGAAAACGAGTATTTTCTTGAAATTTACTTCTTAGCTAAGTGAATCGTGAGTGGGTTATTTTTTAGTGACCCGGATAATGGTTTCAACGTGCAAATAGATTGTAAAGTGCTAGTTTAGAAAACGAAAACGTTTATCAAGCTACAATCGAGTCGTTTTATTTACAAAAAGATTCATTTCAAAAACAAAACCATCAATTTTTTTCACGAGGTCAATATTATAACACTGTTCATTAAGTTCTCAGTTTTCACCAGATACCAATATTTTCGGACTGCACATTAAATTTGGATTACCCTCTGGTAATCTCATAAATATAGCTATAGCTACTCACAAGTTACTTCAAGTATAGTTTACAGTATTTTCACTGTTAAGTTTACATGTATTTCGTGAGGAACACTCTAACATAATGCAGTAAACTGTCTCACCCGTGGACGAGTCGGCCGCATTTTGTCTGAGGTAGTCGAGGTGTCTGGACAAGGTCGGCAACCTCATCCGAAGAAGGTCCCGGAAGACGGCCATGTCAACCGACAAGCCACGCAAGTTATTCGCGAAATAACTTTCCGGCAGAACCCCCTCGATGAGGTAGATCATCACCTGCACAAGATGGGGCTAAACTGCAACAAACACGAAGCATACTTCATTGGATATCTAACCTGCTCTTAGATACTACTAATGAGCTCTTCAGAACCTGCCACCCAAGCTACGTTGAGCCGCGCAAGGGAGACCAGCAGATTCATGACATGTGTTTCGTGTGGTAATATATAACGAACGTCGCCAGGTAGCTGAGGATTTTTTCCTCTCAAGAACGGCTTTGGCGTGTCTCTTTGGCTAGTAAGTAACTCGGGAAATCGAGATGAATTTGAGGTCATATTGCGGAACTCTTTGCTGCCTCTCATCTTCTCGACGAATCCAACCAGCTTTTTAACGAGAATATTAAGGAAAATTTTGAATATTGTGTCCACATTGATGACTATTAACGCAATAATTAGTCCGACAAGAACTGCTGCCGTCATGACGCCCGCGCTTGCAATCAACATGCTACGTAAGATGGCCCATAAGATGTTTGTTCCGTAAATGTTTTCTCCATCCGCGGTGTGAAAATATTCTTCCTCCATTGTCGAAAATTGTCAGCATTCGAGTTTGATCGTGATAGATTCCAAATTTCTGGCATACTAATTGTTGACCGCTCCGATATCTTGGTCCATGAAGTATCATGCACTTTATTCTCAATCACGCAGCTTCAAAAATTATTAGTATGAACTTAACTAATTATAAAATTATAACTAATTAATAGTAATTCTTCTTATGAAAACCCTTGATTCCAGCCCGTCATCCATAAGTTGAGAATAGAATTTTTGCTGAATTCCACTCGGCACAAAATTGTTGAGGTCGTCAATTTTTTTTGCAAACGAGGCCTAAACAATGTAGAATCTGGGATTTATTTATTATCTGGAACACATGCAATTGAAACGCCTAAAAACTCAATAAATAGCCCCATGTTAGCCCTTAGTGGCGTCATTCAATTAGTTGTGAAAAATCTAAACCTCGATATCTTAATAAAACCTCAAATAATGAATTATATTATGAATGCATTAACATTGAGAACATGTGCCTCCTAATGGTAGCAGGGGTATTTTATCTCCCACTTTGAATGCCAATAGATAATTAATTATATTAAATGCATCATATTATAGGACATGAGCGGTGTAACTTGCGTTGGGCTAGTTTGGTTCACACTTACGATTCTCGTAATAGTAGTTGGGCAAGTTTGGCTCTTTCTTTCAATGCCAATAAATAATGAATTAATATTATATGCTTCAGATTTCAGCACCTGAACCTTGTAATGGTAGTTAGGCGAGTTCGAATCCCAATTTCAATGCCAATTAATATTGAATCTACATTGATGACAATCAACGGCGAGTTCGAATCCCAATTTTAATGCAAATTAATATTGAATTATATCATATACATCAAACTCGAGCATATAGGCCGCGCGATAATAGTTAAGCGAGTTCCAATCAGACTTTTAATGCCAATTAAAAATGAATTATATTAAATACATAAAATTTAAGCATACCCCAGTGAAAATTTACAGACGCGTCAGCTTCTGATTTGGATTACCAGAAGCTTGGGCGACTCTATAAATTTTGTTGGGGTAGGAACCGCACAATACTACTTAAGCTAGGTTGGCTCTTACTTTTAAGGCATGGCTCTCATTCTTGTCGACCTCCTCGAGGATGATAGCGGCCAACATGTTGATTGGGCGATTCTAAATTTTGTTAGGGTAGGGAACGCACAATACTAGTTAAGCTAGGTTGGCTCTTACTTTCAAGGCATGACTCTCATTCTTGTCGACCTCCTCGAGGATGATGGCGGCCAACATGTTAAAGCCTTGGCAGTATCCCACTGCTTTGTTCCAGCGGCTGTAGGCCAGCAGCACGCGTTTCAGCATCGCTTGGTTAGCGGTCGCGTCGTCGCCGGTGAAGAGCGAGCAGCCGGTGCGGTGCAGATCCTGCTTGTAGGCAGCGCTGTTAATTTATATATCAAACAATCTTACTTCCAATGGGTGTATTTTTTTGAAAACCTACTAATGTCTGTTACAAAAGTCAATCAAAACGGAATTTCCGTGTAATATATCTTACTTCCAGTCTATATATTTCTTGAAAACCTACAAATGTCTGTTACAAAAGTCGATCAAAACGGAATTTCCGTGTAATATATCTAACTTCCAATCTATATATTTCTTGAAAACCTACAAATGTCTGTCAAAAATTTCAATCGAAACGAAATTTTCACGTAATAGGTCTTCTGTGTTGCATGCACCCCTTGTACTTCGCTTTGATAACGTTTCTAAAGAGTCTTTTTCTCCAAGTTTCCATGATGAAACGTAGAAAAAACACGAAAGCTTAAATAGGTAAAATGTAACTGAAAATTTTGAATGTATTTTGTTTGTTTCACATAGTTTCTTACATCATCAACAGTGCATACAGGACTATTTTACAGAGAAGTAAACATACATTAAATTTGCGCAATTATGCAATTTTTCCTTATCGATCTTCATTATGGTATTGGATTTGTTCACGTAAGTCGCGCGGTAGCGGAAGACGGTAGCGGTTGTAATAATAGCGTAAATGACACGTTACCTCCAAGTATACATGAAGTTTGCGTGTATTATTGTTGTACCAACATGTTTCCTGATTCAGCTTTTTATGTTGCCTACATCTGAAGATCTCAAAGTTCTTGCGTGACGCTAACATTCAAAACATAGATTATAGCCAAGACCATATCTATACTACTGTCATATAACACAACCATACTACTGTTAACAAATGCCAAGGAGATTCTTCGCATTATGTCCGCTAATGTACTATTATGTCTATAGTCACCGTCACCGTAATTAGGTACATTTTTTCAAAGTATTTAATTGCAACTCTTAGTCACTTTGCTTTTGATCAGTGATCAGTTTCCGCACTGATTTCTGGTGGCATCAAGTGCAATTAATTCTCAACGCTCGTAACTTAACGTCGTCATGGTTGGTGCGTTCATTGAAGCAACGTAGCACGTCATTGCACGTACCTTGACGATCTGGTCGCCTAGCTCGTCGTTGTCAGGGTTGGTACGTTCATTGAAGCAACGTAGCACGTCATTGCACGTACCTTGACGATTTGGTCGCCTAGCTCGTCGTATTTTTAATAATACTACCTCCAACAGTATCAGGCAAGCTGTTGACTCTATATTATGTTGTCACATAGCTTTTTAATAATATTACCTCCAACAATATCAGACAAGCTATCAGCTCTATATTATGTTCTCACATAGCTTTTTAATAATACTACCTCCAACAGTATCAGGCAAGCTGTTGGCTCTATTGGTGCCATCGAGCAGCTTGACGCCTGGTGGCAACGAGGCTCGGCGAGTTCGGTTGGCGTCCTTCCACAGTAAAGTCTCCGGCTCGGGGCCCGGAACAGCCGTTGTGTGTTCTCCGATAGCGGGAACTGAACAATAATATGTATTTTAGTATTTTTAGCAACATTTTGTACATCTCAGTCCCTTTTTTCCCATAATCAATGAATTTTTTCGTTATAATTCGAATATATTTCTAACAAATCGGATATTTTGAGTTTCGAAAAGGTAATATACATGGGTATACCCTAAATTTAGTAATGACTAATGCGTATGATATTTTCATTCTGTCTTAGTGTCACTTTCGACTTGCATTAAACATAGACTTAGCACTTAATCATTAACGTCCGATAAGTTACTTCAACGAACTTTCAGACAAATTCCCTATAAATGCATTACCATAGAGAATACGGTCTTGACACCACGCTGCCTGATCGGCCTAACGAAATAAATATGGGGTAAAACTTATTAACTTGTAGTAGACACAAGGCGCTAAAAACTCAAGTGAGAAATTTCGTCCTTGAAACATAAACAATAGCACATGAGATATTGTCCTTCTTTTTTTACAATTTTTGCCATTCTTCATCACTCGATTTATAGTGGGTGTCATTCCTCTCTAACTCAGAAAATATAACCTTGCAAACTGAAGTCAACAATAGTTGACGAAAATGCGTTTAAAATACAAGATACACACCTTCCTATCAAACACTATAGTTAAAAGCATTTAAAAGATTTGTTCATGAGTTGGTTTATTTTTTTTCAAGTTCCAAATAGTTACCCACATCACATAATTTGGAGACTTCTTCCAATCGTTTTAAAAATTCATATTTTTAAATTGATTCACGTTAAGTATAATTATATAGCGTATTCTGAATATCATAAATATTTAAAAATTTGAAATAAATCGCAAACTATTAGATTACAAAAATATGAGTCGAACCTCTCAAGTACCAAACAAAATTTAGACCCTAGCCATACCTTCAATGAAAACGTGTAGTGAGTAAATTACTTTTAAATTCTTGTAGAACTTGCGATTTAAGCAGAATCATAACTTACGTACTATTCTATTATTTAAATAGTACTATATACTATTTACGTACAGAATCATAACTTACGTACTATTTATTTTTGGTCTTATATGTAAAACTTTGACAGTGGATTGATGAATTACTTGTTATGGGCGGGCATGGGTGGCCAGCGGAGTAATATATCTTACTTCCAATCTATATATTTCTTGAAAACCTACAAATGTCTGTTACAAAAGTCAATCAAAACGGAATGTCCGTGTAATATATCTTACTTACAATCTATATATTTTTTGAAAACCTACAAATGTCTGCAATAAATTTCAATCAAAACAGAATTTCCATGTTATAGGTCTTCTGTGTTGCATGCATGCTATGCACTTCGCTTTGATAACGTTTCTAACGAGTCTTTTTCTCCAAGTTTCTATGATGAAACGTAGAAAAAATACGAAAGCTTAAATAGGTAAATTGTAACTGAAATTTTTGAATGCATTTTGTTTGTTCCACATAGTTTCTTACATCATCAACAGTGCATTCAAGACTATTTTACAGAGAAGAAAATATATAATAAATTTGTGAAATTATGCAATTTTTCCTCATCGATTTTCATTATGGTATTAGATTAGTTTACAACAGTCGTGCGGAAGCGGAAGAAGGTAGTGGTTGTAATAGTAGCGTCAATGACACGTTACCTCCAAGTATAAATGAAGTTTCCGAGTATACTATTGCGGTGCCAACATGTTTCCTGATTTAGCCTTTATGCTGCCTACATTTGAAGATCTCAAAGTTCATGCGTGACGATAACATTCGAAACATATATTATAGCAAGACCATATCTATACTACTGTCATATAGTAACCTTGCTAACAAATGCCAAGGAGATTCTTCGCATCATGTCAGCTAACGTACTATTTTGTCCATATTTCCATAATCAGCGTCACTGTAATTAGGTAAATTTTCGCAAAGTATTCAATTGTAACTCCTAGTCAATTGATCAGTGATCAGTTCACGCACTGATTTCTGGTGGCGTCAAGTATAATTAATTCTCAACGCTCATAACTTAACGTTGTCAGGGTTGGTGCGTTCATTGAAGCAACGTCGTACGTCATTGCACGTACCTTGACGATCTGGTCGCCGAGCTCGTCGTCGTCAGGGTTGGTACGTTCATTGAAGCAACGTCGCACGTCATTGCACGTACCTTGACGATCTGGTCACCGAGCTCGTCGTCGTCAGGGTTGGTACGTTCATTGAAGCAACGTCGTTCCACCTCCGGCCAGTCAATTTGTCGCGCTCGTAGTTGATGCTCTGCCAACGTCAGCCACAACTGCGCGTAAAAAAACGGCCGTTGCTCATCGAGTTCAACTGTACACAATTGACTGGATAATAAGACGAAAATATGGCTGATATTTTTGTTATTGTTCCTGTCAGTATGTTATGTTACACAGGTTTCACACTTAGAAGCTTTAGGCCCGCAACGTAATGAGTTCAGTAGCTCAGGTTAGTTTAATGGATAATGAATGGATTGGATTGGATATAAACATTGAGAGTGAAGCATCTAATTAGAAAAACCTAGCAATTGGATGGGGTCGAATGGCTATAATTTCTATCCGAACATGCCTTTAAAAACGAATGCATGCAAATAATTACGCCCAAATACACCTATTATCCCATTCCCAACACATGTGTGCAATATGAGTGTTTTTAATCGCCCCTATTGATTGAATGCCACTGGTTTCCATATTCATACAATAATTTACATAAGCTACATGTAGGCATAATTCAGCTATATTTATTTTAGAATCCAACGCAAGAAATTGTTTTATTTTCTACAAACAGCCCACATGAAGCAGTACCTCATTGTAGTGCGCAGGGCGATGTTGCGTTGTCTCGCCACACCCTCCGACCACATTTATAACGCACTCAAAGAAATAAGGAGATTTTGCTCCTGACCAAAATTAGCCAATAAAATAGCGTATCATTGGTATCAATGATATGTTAAGAAAGTTTATCACTATTTGGACTATACGACAATATTTATAACGCACTCAAAGAAATAAGGAGATTTTGCTCCTGACCAAAATTAGCAGGTAAAACAGCGTATCAATGATATGTTAAGAAAGTGTGTCACTATTTGGACTATACGACCCATTAACTCTTCTGCTTCTAACAAACTCATCAGAAGGATGCGCGTGTGTCGAAAGGACCACGTATTTCTTACTTTAATTTGGTGCAAGATTTCGAGTTCTTCCGACCTGGCGCAAAATGAAGCTGATTCCTGGAACAGGAAAACTGGACCGAGACTTACACTGTGAAAAATTTATGTCTCATTTATTAAAGAAATATTGGCATACTTTCTGCTTATAGCACTTGTACCCATTTTCTCGGGACCAACCTGGGTCAGGATGACCCACATAAAGGCAGTAATTACATCGCCATTCAGACAAAGTCTCACTCATTTCACTGAGAGTACATGATAGATTGGAAGCCTCGAATAGACGATAAGCAACGCAAGTGTATTATCATAGCGATGTCGGCGCTGAATAATAGGCCTGATGTGGCCTATTCGTACAAATGTGGCACAGAAAAACGGTTTTAGGTTCATTAGACGGTTTTAAATCAACGCTGAAGACGTGAGCATAAGCCAATTAATATTGAATCTACATTGATGACAATCAACGGCGAGTTCGAATCCCAATTTTAATGCCAATTAATATTGAATTATATTATATTCCTACATCAAATTCGGGCATATAGGCCGCGCAATAATAGTTAAGCGAGTTCCAATCCCACTTTTAATGCCAATTAACAGTGAATTATATTATATACATCAAATTTGAGCACAGGGGCCGTACAATAATAGTTAAGCAAGGTTGGCTCTTACTTTCAAGGCATGGCTCTCGTTCTTGTCGACCTCCTCGAGGATGATGGCGGCCAACATGTTGAAGCCCTGGCAGTATCCCACTGCTTTGTTCCAGCGGCTGTAGGCCAGAGATGGGGTCGAATGGCTATAATTTCTATCCGAACATGCCTTTAAAAACGAATGCATGTAAATAATTACGCCCAAATACACCTATTATCCCATTCCCAACACATGTGTGCAATATGAGTGTTTTTAATCGCCCCTATTGATTGAATGCCACTGGTTTCCATATTCATACAATAATTTACATAAGCTACATGTAGGCATAATTCAGCTATATTTATTTTAGAATCCAACGCAAGAAATTGTTTTATTTTCTACAAACAGCCCACATGAAGCAGTACCTCATTGTAGTGCGCAGGGCGATGTTGCGTTGTCTCGCCACACCCTCCGACCACATTTATAACGCACTCAAAGAAATAAGGAGATTTTGCTCCTGACCAAAATTAGCCAATAAAATAGCGTATCATTGGTATCAATGATATGTTAAGAAAGTTTATCACTATTTGGACTATACGACAATATTTATAACGCACTCAAAGAAATAAGGAGATTTTGCTCCTGACCAAAATTAGCAGGTAAAACAGCGTATCAATGATATGTTAAGAAAGTGTGTCACTATTTGGACTATACGACCCATTAACTCTTCTGCTTCTAACAAACTCATCAGAAGGATGCGCGTGTGTCGAAAGGACCACGTATTTCTTACTTTAATTTGGTGCAAGATTTCGAGTTCTTCCGACCTGGCGCAAAATGAAGCTGATTCCTGGAACAGGAAAACTGGACCGAGACTTACACTGTGAAAAATTTATGTCTCATTTATTAAAGAAATATTGGCATACTTTCTGCTTATAGCACTTGTACCCATTTTCTCGGGACCAAACTGGGTCAGGATGACCCACATAAAGGCAGTAAGTGCATCGCTATTCAGACAAAGTCTCATTCATTTCTCTGAGAGTACATGATTGATTGGGAGCCTCGAATAGACGATAAGCAACGCAAGTGTATTATCATAGCGATGTCGGCGCTGAAGAATAGGCCTGATGTGGCCTATTCGTACAAATGTGGCACAGAAAAACGGTTTTAGGTTCATTAGACGGTTTTAAATCAACGCTGAAGACGTGAGCATAAATGCTTCATTAGACCGCCATGATTGTGAAAACTGGCGAACTAATCGGCGATTTGGCCTTGGTGTTAACTAAGGCTCTCTAAAATGACTGTTAAGAACAAAAATGCTCGATACTCGTGCAAGACTAAGTTAATTCATCATTGTGTGACCAAGGTTTATCATTAGTTCAATTTGGTACTACACAGTCAAATATATGTAATTTTTATATTGAAAATTTCATTTAACGTCCCGTTCTGTCTAATGATTACAGTAAATAAATTATAATCCCAAGTAAATTATAAGTTTAAACGGAATAATCTGTGCATTGGGAACTCTTACAGCACCACAAATTCCTCACAATTCAACTTTTCTCCTCTGATGAGAGTATTTATACATCGAAAACACCAACGGAAGTCGAACGTGTGGTTAGCAATCGTTCGAATGAAAATCAAAATAGTTACAAGTTCGTAACTACGTCAGCCAATCACTGAAGACTTCCAAGCTAAACCCTCCAATCACTGACGATAAATCGGTCGCTACGTAACCTTATGACGTTACGTGTACTATAGCGAGCTTGGATAGTACGGTCATTTATCAGGATGCCATATATATGTTCCTCGTCAGGCTACCGGTGCATCACAAGTATCTGTAAATATGATTATTTGATATCAAAATCCGCGTCATTTGACTCTTAGTCACGCGTACTGCAACTTCATTCTCAGTGGCGAACTTGCATCAAAATCAAAGTATTTACCTTTATTATACCTTTAAAACCAAAGTATTTACTTACCATTTGAGTAGGTACTGTCAATCATTTTCGTATACGTACCAAAGTATGAAAATGAGTCACAATAGGGACACAAGATCGAGAGGCAGAGTGATGGACAAATGAGGCGTCGAATACAAATTGAGGACCAAGCTACCAAGCTACCAACATTCTTGCACATCACCTTAAGTCGCCGACTTACTCTCTTCCTGAACTCTGCCGGGATACCCTCTGGCAGTCTGGCACTGTGAAGCGTGTATCAACATTAAGTCGCCGACTTACTCTCTTCCTGAACTCTGCCGGGATGCCCTCTGGCAGTCTGGCACACATGGTCATGGCACTGTGCCACTGGCAGAAACCTGAGTCGCCTGGGGCAGGGACCACCGAGAAACGCATCCGCGTGTCCTGACCTGAAGCACTTCTTGTATTAACGAAAAAAATCTAGAATGCCTATAAAAATATGCCTATAAGAAAATCTCTATCAATCTGACAACAATGCCGAAAACAAATAATCTATATTGTCTGTAACAAAATATTACTAATGCCTAGAACAAAATATTCAAAATTTCAGTAACAATGATCAAGAATATCTATGACAAAGTATCAATGATTCCTTTGATACCGCAACGATAGATCAATAATAAAACCAATAGAAACAATCAATAACAGCTGCAATAGAATATCAATACTGCATTCAACAATAATCAAAAATACCACTGATTGCTATCAGAATATTTTACAAATATCAACAACAAAATTAAAAAATATCAGTGCAGAATAGCACATATAATTTCTCGGAAAAAAATATTCAACGGCAGCTCCATTGTTTGTTATATTACATGAGTTTGTAGGTTATTCTTGTTCATCAACCATAGATATGATATAGTTTAACGCATGTGCTTTATGTCTTGCGTAGGTCGTGTAAAGTGATAGAACGCTGAAAATGAAAATGAAATTAGAGTAAAAAAATTATAGGTATAAAAATCAATAGTTAAATCGATTACATGCATCTATTTAACGTACAGTCATCGTCTTAATATTTTGTTGCGTTGAAATAATTTTATAAATATTCTTATCAAAGTACTCGACGAATTGATATCAGCTGCGAAATTTCACCAATTTACATGTGACGAAATTGAAACAAAAAACAATATTTTTCCAATAGTGTGGCACCAGCAAACTACTGAAACGTTTCCATTTTTCTAGTATTTAATCGGTTCTAGGCATAGACATAATCGTGCAACCCGGAAAAACAAATTTACCATACCCACCCTCAAATTCAAGATTTTTCTCAACATCATTGTTAAATGAGAGTCTAAAATGCAAAAATGACCTACTCAGCGCGCTGGATAAAATTATTTTCTTGTCGTCATGCAGCCTCACAAGCCAAACTACGAGCATGCCAATACGAAAACCGAAAAAAAACAATACCACTGATTTGAAAAACAATACCACTGATGATACACAAAAACAATACACTGACACGCGTCTAATTTTGAAAAAAAAGGTATGTTATTTTACATACAACAACAATGGCACATGAACAGGCGTGAAAAGCTTCAATGAAACAAAAACATTTAATTTTAAATCTCGTCGAAGCATCTAAATCAATACAAAACATGCAACATCATGTAAACTGAAGGCGAACAGGAGTTTGATTCTAAATATTAATTCAATAAATTAAATAATAAATATTAATTCATCATTCTCACCATTATTAAATTTTCGAACTTACCGTATTTTCCTCCAGCCATGGACCGCAGCGACTGCAATATGGCCGTCATTTCAAATATTTGTTCAACAAAAAATTTTAACAAAAGTATAGTATAACTGTATACTATACTATTATTTAGTAAGTATAGTAAAGTATTTTACATGTTAATTACAAATGGTAAATTAAATGGAGTTTCATCTTAAAGGAAATCGCGTTCATGTCATTGCAAATGGACATAAACTGTTGCATGGCTGCTGCAAATTTTAACTTGTTCTACGAAAAACCTGTGCAAAAATCGACACATATTTTACCTTTACACAACTATACATTGGTTTTATATAGCGCGTTTCTCTTCCTAATTTTCACGTTGGATTTTCTCGAGAAGTAGACGCATTCACAACATTGCTTCCTCAAACTGCTAAAACTAAAATTCAAAAGTTCAATAAGCAAATAATCACGGAAAAAATAGTTTTCGAAACTCACTCATATTAATAATGACACTTGATAACTTTTCGAATTGAGCAACATTCCAACCGATGCTTGATTTGAACTAAAATCATTATTAAATTGTTGTAACTACAGCTTACACATTTCGTAAGCGGAAAACAAATGCGATTCAAATTTTTCTCGTTGAATGTCCAGTAAAATTTAAATTTTTGCCAGAAAACTTCTCTTGCATTGACAAAAAGACTAAAAAATTATTAGCTCGTGTAACGCTCATAGCTTCTGACTCGTTTGTGTTGAAATGACAAGTTTTAAACATTTTCTTCTAAAAAATTATATCAATGATCAGGAAGAAAACAAATGTTTATTTGAAGAAAATAGTACATCGGCGTCAATTGAGTGAGACCGTTGGCAGAAGCACCAAATAAAATTGAGAATAAATATTAATCATTTACCAAAATTAATTTTTTGAAACATGGGATCAGCTCTGTTACAATGCCGCAATACATCTGATTATCATAAATACGGCAAACTGTAATGCCCGAAAAACTAACTAACAATATGCATTTAACGAGTTTCATTCCAATTATTTATTATTTTAATTACGCAGAATCAAATCGAACTATCGGGCATCTGTAGGATGGTCAGAAAATGGTCGGAAAGTCTACGGACTGTGAGCCAAATATTTGCATATCTCTCCTCGGGTAATTTTTTCACGGTAATCGTTTAACTAGTGCCATGAACCAAATAGAGTATTGCATTTCTCCGTCCTACGTTCTATACATCACTTATTCGTCAAACAAAGACCTCTCTCTTGTCCAAACTTCTTCACGTACGAATAAATTTTACATGCATAGTGGTTTATCGAGAAAATTCGCGCTTTGACAAATTCAAAATTTGACAATCGTAAACATAACAATTTTCAACGAAAAAAAAAAAAACATATTTTCCACGCATGCACGAATATTCTATTTATCAACATGTATCTCGCGATGTATTTATCAAAATTTGCTAACCAGAATATAACTCGAAACAAACATATATGAAGGAAAACAAAGCTTGACCTTTGACCGCCTCTGTGTCAAGAATTCTCGAGTGGCTTCAAGCTTGACTTTCCATTGATCCACGACGCGTGTGTTTCGCACAATTGGTTATAAATCATAACCATAGTTTTATTCAACCTTATTTTGGGCAAATCTACGGTGGACAACAGATGTTTCCGTTAGAAAATGCTGAATAATAATCCGAAATTATTAAAGCGAAACTTGTTTTTTAGCAAAATTTATAACCGATAACGAGCGTCTTGAAACGACCATTAGCTCCCAATAAACAGAAATTTATTAAAAAATTTTATGATGAAAGCAAAAATTTTAACTGATCGCTGCGTAACACTAGCAAGAAGGCAATATAAGTTACCGCTGCACCATACGGAGTATTCCAGACGGCGGCCACTGCATTATCCACAAAGAATTTGAAATATTATTCCAAGTCAGAAAACTCGAATCGCTAACAATTCTAGTCGATAACAAATCATTTGGATCCTCATACAGAATAAAATTGGATGAGTGTTTCGACCAAAATTTCACGGAGTAATGCCGATAAATCCATCAATTTCACACAGGAAACATACGAGGTAATTGATGTAAAATTTTGTAGGTAACCTCTCCCTATGACCGTCCGACAAGCACTGAGCCAACACTGCTGCCCAGCATGTGGCGGCGATCGATGGCCGTCAGCTGCTTGTCGCGAACACGCCACAGAGGGCGCTGCAGTTCAGGCGCCAAAAACTCCTCATGTTCGTTTCATAAAGTTTCGAAAATTTTTATTTAAAGTCGTGCTTTTTATAAATGTTACAATTTGATTCATGCTGCTTAGTACAAATTTATTGAAGAAGCATTTATAAGACACAAATGAGCGCTCGAAAAATAAAAAACTAAAGAGCCAAGCAAAATAGGTAATCGTGAGTTAACTTGCCGTCGCAACGAGCAGTATTTTTGGAAAGAGTCTATTCCATCCGAGCTGTGCAATTTGGCTTGAAAATATTCAAAAGTGGAATGAACGGTATCCTCGACAATAATTATTGTATGCGTGACAACGAATCAGAATTTTTTTCTTTAATATTGTAGTGGTGTGAAGTTGCATTCAGTACATACTGACCTTATAACGCTATATCACCTTAACATTCAGGCAACACGAACATTTGATAAGTAAGCTCCACAAATTCAATAAGTAATCTCACCACACCGAAATAATAGGCACATAATCGTTTAATTATTGAGTACTAACCATTATTATTGACATCAGGTCTTAAATTTCCTAAAAAATTAAACAATGCATCAACTCGTCTCCAGCTCCATAATTCGGCATAAAATGAGTATAAATATCCTGAAAATACTATGCATGTAGAATATAGAAAGTTTGTTTCTTCTTCCCTTGAAACTTTAATTTACAACCATAAACGACCAGCAAATAATACATCGCAAAATTTACTTCATAGTTCCCAATAACAGTCACACTAAGCCTCAGTTGTGCAGCATTTTGCCAAATTTCCTTTCACCACAATTAAAAAAATTTGTAATAATGTTTAGAGGTACAGGCACAAAAAAAATACAATAGCCTTACATTTATTTTTAGTTTATCATAAAATTCTTCTCTAAAGAAAACGAAGAAAATATTTTAAGAAAACGAAGAAAAATTTCACGGACATCCCATTCTAATCATCACTTGTTTTAGGAGTCCAATTAATTGTGCAATGTCTATCAAGCACCTAGACTTACCAATTTTTGAATTGCTATATGAAGTACAATTTAACACATATAATGTATGATTGTCTATTTTGAGAAGTACTACCAACTTAATATCCGATTTCTATCACATTTTCTAGCTTAACGGTTAAATAACGGAAGTGAATATGATGTCTAATCTCTATCATGTACGTGTGACAATCGTAAATTCTAAAGTGATATCTACATTAAGGATCTGTGTTATGAGACTTTGCGCACAAATGTTTGAAAAAATATTTATGCGATAAAATTCAATTACCAACGCTCAATGCGATCAAGCTGAGAAGATAATTTGAAATTAGCACGGCAAATAACATAGTAGTTGTTCTTAATAAATGATAATGTCACATAAGGGAGAAAAAGTAAAGATTTTTTGCAATATTTAGGCATTTTAATATTATTTCCAGCTAAATGAATTCAAATTTGATAATTTGAATATAGCTTATAATAGTAACATTATTCGCAGAATCAATGCATTGTAACGTTATGAAGCGATAAGCTTAGTGATAATGCGGATATACTCTTAGTCCACCTGTTTTTTTACGACGATAAAGGACCAACTTTTATCTCTTTTATGCTTCAAAAATATAATACATTGTCTATCTGTTCGTTTATGGCTCCCAATTTGTGTTTAGTAAGAAGATGACTCAAATTTTTCATCCCCCACAGTATTATATCCCCTTGAAATGTGTCGTGCACAGTATGAACCTGTCATACCGAAACCTTTTAATTAATTTATAATTCTGTTAATTTTATTTTACTTACGACGCTTCTGCGAAAGTGCGTGCAGTAACGCCGTAATCATGTCGCAACGCTGCCTGAAATTAAATAAATATATACCGGATTAATTATGAAATTATGCTCAAATCTAGAGAGAAGAATAGAACAACAAAAACTCAATTCAAAACTTAATTCAAAAAGTTTATTCGCATTTATTCCGGAGCAGAAAAAACACTGGCGTCTTAATCTACCGCAAACATCGCCAGCAATTATAAGTAAGATTTTTACACAATAGATTAATTCGGAGCCAATTGAACTTAAATTAATTAATCAAATAATTTAATTCCAAAAAGTTACTTAACTGTACAGCAGATGTCAGCAACAGATTAGTTATAGAGAAATGCAATCGAGGGATATTGTTTTTCGCAAAAGTATTGATATTTACATATATAGTACCCTAACAATTACCAAAGTTGATGATCCATTCAGATGATAAAACTACAAACTAATGATGAAAGAAACGATAAATGACGTACCCATGGTTGAATTAATACAGTATTATTTCAACCATGGACGTACCTGTGAATGTGCATGCTTCGGTCACGACGTCGTAGCTCCTTGAGCAGTCGTGCGCCTAGGCCGGCAAGCCCCGACCGGTAGGAGGCTAACATCACCTGTAGCTCCTGGATGCCTGAGCAAGAAGCATAATTTATAACAATCAAATTTATTGAGATCCTAATGGTGAACAAACAGTTAATGCTGAATTTTATAGAGCTGGGTACTATAATTTTCAAAACAAGAAATAAAAATTGAACATCCATTTGTCTATATTTTTTACTAGTAACGCACTATGCGTATACGGCTGATAAGACCTCAGTAGTAATATTAATTCGCAGGATATAAAACCGAAGATTGGATTTTGAAAAATCCTGCCTATCTTGCTCGGATTTTGTTCAATGTTCGAAGTTGTGAATATTTTAAATTAAAATTAAAATTTTTAAATTTCTAATAACATTTTTTCTCACTTGCTCATCGAACGAAAAAATACTAATTGAATTAATAACTTTCTGGCAAATTCCAAAATAAAAAGGGTGATTCGATCGAACTAAAAAATTGCAAGAAAAAGCAAGTTAAAATTCATGGAGCACTTTGAGGTTATTTGCACCAGTAGTAAGCAACATAGTTTTCACAATTAATTTTTAACTTGCTCCTTATCTCTACAGGTGATAAGTAGCCGCAGCTGCTCGTTATCTTGCCAGGAGACTTTATCACCTCACACTAGCAACAAACGCGTGAACTTGAAGCAGTGACGTAGCTGCAACATTTTTTCTAAAGTAATATTCAATAAGATTATAATATTTCTTATTATGCTGAACCTGACAAATTGCTCTTATTTTCCATTTTTGGTCAATAAAGACTCAAAGGTAATTTAAGATGCAATCAAAGAGAAATTCCAAATGAATGTTCAAAGTTTTCCAGGAATTTTCATTCATAATCATGACTTAAGTACATATCAACATATAAAGGGTCCTCTAATAAACTGCAGAGTTCATCAATTTTGCAGGAAATTAATGCAGTACAGGCATCTTCAGCATCAATCAACAGGAACTATCAGTTTGATTTATCAGTTTCACTTTAATTTATTAGTTTAATTTAATCACATCACTCACTGTTACTCCACAGCTTTTGTTTCCTCTTAGGCCTGATGGCCAAAGCTTCATGGGTAGATCTACGTTTCCAGTCCAAATCTGAAGTCGTGGAATATTCAGTTAAGGTTCCTGCATCTTCGGAATCGTCAGCAAAACAACTGCTGACCGAAGGGGCTCTTTGCAAACACCACGAGCAGTCGCACCAGTCAGAAACATCCGAGATATTATTGAAAGAAAACCGACGACCCAATTGACTATCATCATTCTGACTTTCGGGAGTTCGTGAGGAAATGCAATTGAACTTTGGATCAAATTCGTTTATAATGTTGTGGTGCGAGTTTAAGGAATGAATGTCACTTGAGTTTTGTGATTCGTTGATGCTACTTCTTCTACTCCCGTCACAGCTGTTGCAGTCGTTCCTACTTGAGTAGCGTTCGCAGTGTCTGGCTCTTGCGGGACACATGGAGTCTCCAGATCCACGGCGTGGGTATATGCTGCCGAGCAGTGATTCAACGAGGCTTCGACGTCGAGCAATGGCCGTCGAATCTTTTGTGCACCTGAGACGAAAATTACACATAAATTTGTAAATACTTCTACTATGATATGAAAAACAATTTTTTTTTATTTTTCAGAGAAACTTCAGAGTACAATAAAAACTAGAAAACATCAGAGCATTTAAAGCCTACAATATTTATTATATTTTTTTAATGTTGAACAAATTGTTGATATTACGATGGAAACAACTGAATTGAAGCTGAACTCGAGCATGAAAATTGATAAGCATTAAATACTTTAAATTTATGGGACCGAAACAGTGGTGAACCCTGACCAAGTTAAGAGCGAGGTTATGACACTCTGGTCGTTGATACGTCGCGTGAAAAATAGTAACTAATGTGTCCCTGAAACTATACTTCGAATGTAAAAAAATTAACTGATACGTCTCCAGAAGAAAAAAACTTCGCTTGGAAAACATCAACTAATGCGTTGCTATCACGATACTTACGCTCACAAAACATCAATAATATTGAACTCTAATAATATTGAACAAAATATTATAATAATAATATTTTATAATATTATAACTCTAATAATATTGAACAAAACATCAATAATATTGAACGAACCATCTCTATAACGATGCTTTGTTTGAGAAGAATACCCTGATGCATATCTAGAACGATACTTTTATGGGAAAACATCAAGTAACACTCCTCCATAACGCTATTTCACTTCAAAAAAACATCAACTGATGCGTCTATAGAGCGATACCCCGACTGAAAAACATCAATTGATAAGTCTCAATAGAGGTACTTCACTGGAAAACATTGACTGATCGTATTCAGAACGATAATTTGCCTGCAAAACATCAAATAATGAGTCTCTACAACGTTACTTCGCTTGCAAAAAATTGACTGAACCATCGCCTGCACAATTCAGTAGCTGACATTGAAGGTCATTGACGCCAACAACAGCAATCTTGTACCAGCATAACCAGACTATATAAGTGCTTAGCACGTCCCGAAAATCGTTAATCATCAGAGAATGCCGCATTTTCAGCGAAAAAATGTTGAATGGGCAAATTAATAATCAATCCATCAACTGAAATTGAATATGAAAGAGATCAAAATAGCCTATTTAACTACTTGTACGAAGCGAATCCATATTCTTTTCTAACTACCAACACTGTACGTCGCAACTTTTGAAACCGCATATTAAACCAAATTGCTCTTTTGGGAGCATCTGTATTTGATTTGGCTTTTTATCATCTGTTCAATAAGTTCAATTTCTGTTTTTCTCCAGGACCAGAATCTTATTGAACTTTATATATTGAATTTTGTACGAATAAGACCACAGCCTGTGGATTGCAAGCCGAATTCGTTTGCGTTTTCCTTTAGGTAGGAATTTGCAATTCAGACGATGATATTTAACAAACGACCGAAAGATTAAAGTAACTATATCGACTCCTGAATGGATTTATTATGCTGTATTATGAATTTATTGCTTAATTTATCTGTATTTGCAGTGTAATAATAGATAATCAACGATAATTTATTTCTGAAAATAGGAATGTTTTTCGACTTTTGATCATCCTCAGCTCGTCCAATTTCTAAATCATTATTAATAAAATTACAATAAAACAAGGTTCACACTGATCGAGATGAGTCATCGAGATCTTGATCCCTGCTTTGCACGTTCATGCATAAACAAAAATCGCGGCAAACAATGGCGTCGATCAACATCGAAATCATCCGTGTCAGAGAACATTCATTTAAATTATATATTATAAGTGCTTAGCAAACATAGCAAAAAAATGTAACTCAGTACTTACTGCAGCGAGTGACAGAGAGCGCATTTTCTTGTCGACGAAAACGTGAAGTCACGGACGGACAGACAGACGGACGGACAGATGGACGGACGGACATGGCGAGCACAATATATGGTGCATTTTTTCCATAAATGAGAAAATGCGCTAAAAATGTATAAATTTTTAGTTTTTGTCCGTGGTTTTAATTTATGCTTTTAATTCCTTATCATCGTACAAAATCGTAAATAAATATGAAAGTTAGTGTGACATGCATATATCACAAATAGAAGGCAACCCCAAACTGAATCTTCCCTATACTGTATGTAATAAAATCGTCTTCCACAAGAGACAAGTGATTTTAATATCGCGTGCGTACTGCATTTTTACAACATATTTAGATCGGTACCACCAAATTAATTGGCTACTTAAAATTATTCATCACATGTTATTGAGCCAAGAAGAAAGTGATATAAAAATATTGATTTTACAGCATGAAAGGCTGGGAGTTATGCAGCGTCATACGTCAGGTGTTGTGGACACCTGTGCTGGTGCAGGGAACATCTGCCCTGTCTCGCTACTTGACGTGCTTACGTACGAGCCGCCTAAAGAACTTACTGATACAAAATATTATTGAAGCTTTCGTACATAAATAAATATTATTGAAGCTTTAGTACATAAATACATGTCTTAGTGTAGGCTGGCAGACTTTCTTCTCTTAAGCAAGTTTTGTAAAAAAACTAACAAGTAAAAACTAAAAAGTAAAAAAACTAACAAGAAGCTAATAAATAAAACTAATTCTCTGGTCTTTAACAAAACTTGTTTAAATACATATCTTTGTACAAAGACATGTACATAGTACATGTTCTTGTCAACATGGACGGGCAAAGATTGTTGATAGCCAAAGATTAATATTTTAAAGACGGGTATGGATGTAGAAATTTTCTACCCCTTAAAAGTTTATTTTCTTTGAAAAGACTTTGACTGCGAGGCGACTTTAACTGAAAAAGACTGCGAGGTGTAGTGGCGAGGAAGGTTCTGTGTATGCTAATTATTGGCGAGTAAGAACTTCATAGATTACTTCAAACGGTCTATTTAAAAAAATTAAGATTAGCGTTGCTGCACGAGTGTCATGGGTAAATTAGGTAACCATCAAGTTTTCTCACGTAGGCTATATATGGATTTACCGGTAACGATGCGGTAGCACATTGTGAACTGTTTGAAAAAAAAACACCCAGCAGTAACAGCCCAATAGCTGGAATTCAAAACTGGAAAGTTATTCTTCAATTTTAAATTTAAATATGAGAAAACTCTGAAGAATCAAATATTTCCGTTATAACTACACTGACGGATTAAATATTCCAAGCAGTAAAGCTTCAAGAACTCTCGGCTTCTGAATATTTGGATCCGACAATTTCCATTAAAAATCTTATATGACCTTAATTGTTGCAGTAACTTCAATATCATGATAGAAATAATGAATAACTCAAGCGACATTTAGAGCCTTTTTCTCAGCATTTGAGCGAATTATTGAGTATATTAATACTGTTATAGCAAAGATGTCATGGAATGGCTATAATTTCCTCGCTGCGAAAAAAAAGAATGTCGAAAAAGCAACTCTTTCTTGCAGGATAAATAATGCACCGCCTGTAAAATTAAGCAGGAACTGCAATTAACAATATTTA